ACTGGTTACTATCATTTATTATAAATGCCTGTTATTTTATTTTATTTTTTTCTGTTAATTTAATTGTACCTTCTTCTTTTGCCTTGCAAAAGTTAAGTTGAATTTCTCGTTGTTTTTTTTCTGTAAAAACGCTAAATGGAGATTCCTACTGAAACATGTAATTAATGTTATAAACAATAAAGTTGAAAAAAAAAATAAATAAATAGAGATCAGTGAATCAGACTCGCTGCTGTGTTCTGGCGCCCCCTGTAGGGCTCTCTACGCAAATGTTACATCCCATCCAGCAGGTGGCGCTGTGGCATGACGTGGCAGCCGTTCTTTAGCGGAACCAGATAACCGCTGAATGCGAGACTTCCGCGTCCCGTAGAGCGCTTCAGGAACTGTTGAGGAACGGGGTGAATTTAGGGAAAATGGTGAGTATATAAAGATGATTTCTGTCTTATATCGAGCAGAAGTTGTTTACCGGGAGCTGAGCGATGACGCAGGACTCTGTCCGGTACTGTGTGGGGCGGATGGAGCTGGATGTCAGCGGATGTTTGCTGGTTCCTGCCCGGTGAGCCGCTTGGTTCCAGCGTGGCGGCTCTCACGGCAGGCTGCTGGACCTCCGCTCAGCTCCTCAACTTCCCTCCAGAACCTTCTTATTTCTGTTTGAGCTCAGCAGCATCCTGTAAACTCTTTATGTTCACCTATATTGTCATAATTCCCCAAACTAAGACCATCTCTGTCTGAATGTTTGCAGGGTTTCGTTAAGGTGGTGAAAAATAAAGCCTACTTCAAGAGATATGAAGTCAAATTCAGGAGAAGGAGAGGTAAATGGATCCATTGACTGATGGCGGGAGGAGTGCTAAGCTAACTGTTCAATGAGGCCCACTTTATGCATGTATTAAAAACCTTGGTACTTTATTCACATTTGATGCACTAAAAGCATAAACAGGTTTATGAGGCATCTTGAAGCCAAACTGTGTTGATTCCGTGTTACAGAATACTGACACCTGCTGGACATTTAAAGACACTACAGGCAGCTTATTTGATAGACTAAACTGAAATGATTTGGTGATCCAGTGCAATATTTAAAGTTATTGTAGGTAATATATTATTTTGTATCTGTTTAAATTGAAAATATATTTAATATTTTTAGACCCAGCCAATAATTCTATTCAGTTTATTTCTATAG